GCTTTTAGGACACAGATAATGTTCATTAGAAGAGACATCCGGGACTTTGGGAGGAGGGACGCTGAAGAGTGGCAGTAATGGGGAGTGATGGATGCTTAATACAATATGCTTTAGGAGTTGTGAAAATATAATGGTTAATCTAATATTCTTAACATTGTTCACTATACCGTTTGTCTATCCTCTTCCTGTTTCCCCCAGACATTTCAGTGTCTTTGGGCTGACAGGCTTGGTCATAAACTTGTTTTTGTTGGCTTAAACTTTATTGGCTAGTTTGTTCTCAAACTGCCTGACTACATTTCAACCAACACTTAGAGTAATTGCTTTCTGTACAAAAAAAATTAACAAATGAAAAAAGGCTATCAATTATCCTACGATTAATTCAAGTGAGGAAAAGAAGGTTTGATCCAAGAGGAGGAGTTCAGTCCCCGCTGTAGTGTTCCCTGAAGTCATCCGCTCATGTGTGAAAACAAGCGACTGTCCAGAGTTATGACGCCCGGAGGGGGAGCGCACAGGGCGGCAGAGCCTTGTGAGGACCGGGGCGCTTAAATCTTTTATCTGAAGGATGGCTGCTCTGCGATAACCGGGACTGCCGGTTTGTGATTCACTCTGATACAGTAGGGACTGTTTCCGAGAGATCCTTCCGTGGGTCCTCCAAAGCGCCTTTTACGCACACGCAGTGGGACCAGCAGAGGCGCAGGGAGGACGCTTCATGTCTGGACCAGAACCTCTCTGACGTCAAAGACTCTCTTTATGTACTTTTCATTTAGACATTCCTACTCTTCATTTACTCCAGAAAGAACGACAAGTTTCGGCGTGCGTGTGCCGCGCTGGAAGGGAGGAGGACGACATGGCAGTCCCGGTGAAAGCGACCCTGACTCTGGTAATTTTCTCCGTGGCAAGTAAGTACACCTGCAGAGCTCATTAGGTCTGCAGCCTTTGTGCACGTATCTCTGTAAGGCTAAACTGTCTCGTTATTCTAAAAGTGTTGGATAGACTGCACTATGATGGATTAACGAGTTTATACTCACGGTCGCGGACAAGAAACAGTGACATAGAAACATGACTTCATTCATATCGCGCGTTACTGTCACCCTACGTGTTAAAGACGCGCCAGAGGCACAGCGTCAGACTCTGTGAGTGACCTGTCAGCGGGCCGCAATTAACCAGGCCCCATGTGCGCGGAGACAGCGTGTGTGCACAGCTCCAGGTGTTGAAGGAACGAGCGTTGAACTCATACCAGCCGCTTGTTGCCTATGAATAAACCAAAACTAACTTATGTGTCACGATTCTTGGGAATTGCCTAAATTCATCTAATAACACATTCACTTGATGGTCTGAATAGATCCAAAAGGCCGTACGTTTATATAGCCTTGCATGCCATGTAGTCAGTGTAGTTTATAACCTGAATTTGGTATTTGGTTAATCACAAACCTTTTAATCAGAAACAAAACGTCTAATATAGGTACAGTCGTTATATAAAGGCTTGTAATCCTCCTGTATCTTGTAAACCTATAAAGTAAAGCAGAATATTCTGTTATCATCTTAACTTTGCAGATGAATAGTTATTCAATCCCAGACACAGCACATTTTCATACACTGCCAAACCTCGAAGTAGAGTAAGTTAGTGTATTAGCCCATAAGTATAGAAGCATTATGTTTTTAGGGTCACATGTAAATCACTCTGTCAGCCGAAACTTCTTCTGACAGCTTTGCCCTGCTTCAGTGCCCCTCGTGGTGGTGGGCATTATGCACATCCCAAATAACGTGGACCCTTTGCCACAAGCCTTTTCCTAAGCTGCATAATGTATTCATGCATGAGTGTACCCTTTCAGGAAAGCCTTAGTCATTTATTTTTTTTGGATTGTGTTTAGTTTATTTTCAAACTAAAGGCCCCAATATGTCAAAATAGATAAATACTAAAGTTTGTTTTTTCGCTTTGACTCTTTATATGGCACTAAAAAATGTTCTAAAACCTGACTCGTTACTTTGGCTATAATCTTGCTCAATATGTCATATACAAATATAGTATATTTCAGAAGAGAATGTGCATTAGTGTTTGGTTTGGACTATTTAATTTTTAATATTTAAATTCTAATTAATTTTCTATCTCCAGAAAGTTGTTAGATTTAGTTCCTATAAGATTAGGAGAGGAATTCAGATATAGACCATATTTGAAATCCTCTTTGTTCATTTGGAGAAATAAAGATGATCTTATGGTTTCACATTTTATATAGAAATTTGGGAAAATTAAGTATTCATTATAAAAAAATTGCAAAAGTGACTGTAAAGTGTGTGCTGTGATTTGATCGCATACAGTCCAGAGTCTGTGACACAAATCCTCGGAGCATAGTGACGTTTGCAATGTGGAAAGACGACGTTCACGACATGCTGTATGCTTTAAGAACTCCAGGCCCAAAAGCTGTAGCCTCCAGAAGGCCACTACAGATGGCAATGTCTTAAAATATTAACTTTTCTGAACCTCTCTAGGCTAAAAAAAAAAAGCTTGCGGATGCGGAATTTATGTCTTTTTGTGTGTGGCGATGTGGATGGCCTGGATATTTGATGCTGATCCATTAAGATTGCAATCGTGTGAGTTGTCATTTGAGCTTTTAGTTAAGAATCAAGGCCTTTGTACGTTTAGTTAAGAAATATTTTCTTTATTGTATCTACTCTATTTTTCTTGTGAGATGATGCCGTTTTATTTTAGCGGCAATAAATTATTGAGGTGTAGAAAGAGCAGTGAGGCGGACAGGAGAAGGAGTGTGTGCATACATGTGTGATGAGCCTGCCCCAGTCTCCAATGCCCTATCTCTGCACCTACATCAGACCAGTTCAATTTACACCAATCCATGTCCTCTTCTTCTGCTTTGGCACATGGTTGTTAGCAGATTGGACGGAGTGTCAACATAACTGTTGAAAAAAGTGACACTATCCTTCACCAGGATGCAGTGATTAAAATCCATAATCCTATGTTTCAACCCTCACTTCCCTTCCTCTGCAGAGTAGCTGGGCGCTCCCTTAGAGATAGGCTGAGGAGCTTACTCACCCGGGAGGAGCTCGGAGTAGAGCCGCTGCTTCTCCACATCGGGAGGAAACTATTAACTTTGGAAAATGCAAAAAATCTGTAATTCTTTTTATCTATATCAATATATTATTATTTATATCAATCCAGGACAAGGATTTGTCCATGGTTGAATGAATGGATGGAATAATTCAATTAGTTATTATTTGTAATTCACCCTCATTCAAGTCAAAGGATCAACTGTCAGATTTGTTCATTTCCACTGAAATAGTCACCATCAAACTTAGTCAGGGTTTAGCCTTTGATCGAATACATTGAAAAGTGAAGCAAATGTAATAAACTTTTTACATTTTAAACATATTAGTGTATAATTTATCATTCCAAAGATTCATTTCTAAAAGCAGAAGTATGTGGAGCACTTTAGTGGCTTCACAGATTTGTGAAGCGCTAAACCCGGTCCGAGATGGGTTACTGTATCATATAGGTCGCTAAATATTTTATGTATTATGTCAAATATGTAATGCACGTTATGTTTTCAAATGGGTCAGGGAGTGACAAATTATTCTTTAACTAAGAATCTTTTATCATTTGTCTGTTGCTTTAATGTTGGTGCATATTTATGATTAAGTTTGAAACAGTGGGGAACAAAAACCAGTTTCCCTCTGGCGACATACGGTTTTTATGATATAAATGGTATTACACCCATAAACCTTATTTGTTTTACTTATAAATCGCCCACATTATCCCCCAGGGCAATCAGGCTGCACTGAGGCAAAAAGGACCACTAGAGAGACTCTGTGCCAATTCAGGGTCATCCGTCCAGAGGCGTCCCGTGCCAACAAGGCAAGGCAGGAAGCTGCCTGGGGCCCCCAAACCGGCAGGGGACCCCCGAGGACCGACTGATTTGACAAGCGGTCAACTTGTACAGGCTACAACAGCTACCTGCAGTGAAGAGTTGGCGGTTAAAACTTTTCGTCTGATGCAAAACTTGCCACTTTCTTCATTAACAGTTAAATGCCTTTCTGGCGAATCGGTGGTCTAGTGGTTAAGATTCAGCACAGGCAATGTGGTGGCCCAGGTTTTAATCTGAGTAAGGGCGGCATTTTGGATTAAACTATATATTATATTAAATGACAGATTACTCAAGAACGGTAGAAGGTAATACACATTGATAGGTAGTTTTTGTAATTAATTATAACATGATAAGTGTAGTGAACAAGCTCATAAAAAGTCATGCTAAATTATTTGTCATTGCTTTGTGTCACGATAAGTTCTGAAGTAATTTTTACACTTTTTACAATTTTCTATGGTAGACTGTACAGTCTCCCAGGCAGGCCTCGGGCCTATCCATTTATTGTTAAAAATAAGAAATCATCTACATTTAATTTATACTAATGTAAACAAGTAATAGATATTGCATTTTACCTTATTTATAAATATATATTTATACCTATTGTAATATAAACCTTTTTATGCGGTTATGTGGTCGGTATCGGGGCCCCCGAGGACTCTGTTGCCTGGGGCCCCGGGGTACCCTTGGAACGCCTCTGCATACGTCCAGGTGCTAAACTACGGCTGTGAAGTAAAATGGTCTGTCGGCAGTTTACGTACTTTAATAAGTGATACTGCAGGTTTTAACATAGTCCTCATTTCTGGTCAATGCAGATGAAAGTTTGATCCTGTCAGACCTCAGAAGAGAAGCAGGGCAGGGTCTGGTTAGTGCTATCATGGGAGACCTCCATGAACATCAGGTGCCACAGTGGGGCGGCTGCGGCTGTAAACACTTCACCCACATTGCCAACTGTGAGTCTGTGTAAATGATGGTGTTGGTCGGAGGGGCATATACTGGCTGCCCCAGGAACGTCATGTAAAGCGTCCTTTAGTGCCCAAAAAATTGCAATATGAAACTGATGCATTGTTATTATTGTTTGAACAAAACACATGAAAACCTTTTTATTTTGTTGCTTTATTCAAGCCATTAAATATTCACCACACCTCGGTCTGGGTGAGCCTGTTTGGCCATGAGTGGGATCTGCCCACTCGGGTCACTGCTGCTGTCACTTGACTTCTGAGTGGGAAAGCTGAGTGAGTTGACCAGTCTTGTCATTGCTCCAGACACAAATGCATACGCTTCATTTGTAGGTTGTATTTTAGTGTTCATGGGCGGCAGAACCTCTGGGACAGTTTGAGGCCTGGAGTTAGGGTTCAGCTGTGCTTCCTGCTCACTCTCAGCCTGCTGACAGTATATGCTGTAGACGTTTTCAGTGAGTAGTGATGCAAACAGAGAGAGTTTACTTTTGCTGAGGATTTCGGGTTGATCTGCAGCTGACTCTGTGTGTGAGAAAAATCTAACTATTTTGATGTTTAAGTGTTCTTTCAAATCCAGAGCCGTCTCATGTAGAGTCTCCTGTGATACTTTGATGTTAGAGTTGACTTTTGGGGAACACATCTCATTTGCTGAATGTCTGACTGTGTCCAGCAGCTCTGAGGCCACAGTGCGCACTCTGGTTTCTGAGCAGTGGCTTTGAGGTTTGAGGCAAGCGATTTCATAGTTTTTCTGAAGGAATTTCTCTAGCGCATCACAAGTGGTCCTCTGAAATTCAGCGTCAGAGAGTTGATCAGTGACTTTCTGTGGGCGCACCATCAGACTGCTGCCTGTGTTGCTGCCCTTTACTTTATGGATGCACATCAAAACACGTTTGTAAATGGAGGCACAAATTGCATAGTCCTCCTCCAGGGGGTTGTACTCATAGTCACTTTCAGACTTCCCTGTTTGCGACTGTTGGTCTGAAGCCATTTCTTTCTGTGGCGCTTCTGTGGAGCTGCTGATGGTAGAAGCCAGAGCCTGCAGTACTTTCCCAGCATCTCTTTTATCCTTGGCTCCAACTTTTGAACTTCTTTGAAAACTTGAAGTAATAATGGACATCACCTCCTCTGCGCGCGTGTCCATGAACTCCATATCACACGTCATAGGACTTGCAAATCTTACATGTTTGTCCAAATGAATGATTCTGAAAAATAAACATTATGTATTATACACTATTGAAAGCTTCCGAGGACTTAAGTAATGCCAGACAACGTGTACCTGTTTTGTTCCAGGGGTTGCTGATGGGACAGCATGATTGGGACGACTGAAACCATTAGGTCGCTCATGACTTCAAAAGTTTTCTTTGTGATTTGAGTCAAATGGGCTTCTGTCAACTGTGGACACAACACTATTGAGCACATCTGAACACAAGTTATATTACAGTTACTGTGCTGTAGGCCATGCATATAGGCTACTCTCAGATCTAAAACAATGATATATTATTATGGAAAATGGAGCCTGATACACTTATCAGTACAGATATGCTGGCCATTCCTTGTTTTCCTGAGGTATAAAATAAATATAACCCTACAGCATCTATTTAGATGGGCTTTGATTGCACTTTTACTCTGAGGAGGACAGGTTACTACTATGGCAGCTATTGCGATGGTTGCCATATTGGACAGAAATATAGATATCTAGAGTTGACAATTGTGTATCCTATTCATGGATTGAAAAGCTTTGAAAGGTGTCCTCTGTTGCTATAGCAATTAACCAAAAGTATTAGCCAGCTACTGTATGTTGTTTGCATGAACATACGGCTCTTTAAACCAGGATAATCAGGCAAAACAAAACCATTGGCTGAAATCCATGAATAGTTTGTGTTAACCAATAAAGCTGAGACTCACCGGTCTGTCCATGCGCTCCTGTAAGACTTGCCAGTTCTGGTTGAGCATAGTTTGGACAAAGAGGGCCACCGTATCGTGGTCAGGGCCATATGTTCGGTTCGAGACCACGTCGTCTGCTAACACCTGCAGGGCAGCTGACCGGTCCATGTTCCCAGCTGATGGTCTGAGCGTCATGGTCTCAGCTAATGGTCTGAGCGTCATGGTCTCAGCTGATGGTCTGAGCGTCATGGTCTCAGCTGATGGTCTGAGCGTCATGGTCTCAGCTGATGGTCTGAGCGAGTCCATGGTCTCAGCTGATGGTCTGAGCGTCATGGTCTCAGCTGATGGTCTGAGCGAGTCCATGGTCTCAGCTGATGGTCTGAGCGTCATGGTCTCAGCTGATGGTCTGAGCGAGTCCATGGTCTCAGCTGATGGTCTGAGCGTCATGGTCTCAGCTGATGGTCTGAGCGAGTCCATGGTCTCAGCTGATGGTCTGAGCGAGTCCATGGTCTCAGCTGATGGTCTGAGCGAGTCCATGGTCTCAGCTGATGGTCTGAGCGAGTCCATGGTGGAGTTCCACTGACCACACTCAACAGTTGTTGTTGCTGTTTAACTGTGAAACCTCCAAAAGTGTGTGTTTACTTACGAATGAGAGATGGATTTATGTTTTGTAGATTTCCATGGTAACTAAGCATCCTTGTGTTGACTCTGATGCACTGGAACATAGTTGAAAAGAGAAATGTACACAATTAACCTGTTATTTAACCACAATAATTATTCTTTTAAAATACAGTATATACTTGTTTCTACTCTCAGACACACCTCTTGCTTTTCTAGAATCCACTTTCTCATGAGTCCTACGTATCTGACTTTGTGCAAGGTCTCATATTGTATTTCAATCAAAGATTTCAACAGTACTTTTCTTTACACAAAGTTGTATTTTACAAGACGGAAAGAATCTAGCCTCAATGGGAAACATGGTTTTTGAAAGAAATGTTGAAAAGGATAATTTTTAAATGTTTTCCCAATTTTTTTTTATTTTAGATTTTTATATTGTCATAACTTTAGGGACATGTTTAGAACACAGTTAGAACACATATTTGCTGACAAAGCATATTTTCATTTCATGTCTTTTGGCCCAGGAATTACAGACAAAAATGACCTCAACAGTAGTTACACAAAAAAACCTCTAATTTCCTAAATAATTGAGCAGGGTTTATGTATTTATCTTCATTCCGCTTCCTTTTGTTCATGTTGATATTGTCGGTCAAAACAGCATAGTATGTATAAGATTGAAAATCTTTCTCTTCCAGCGTCATTTCAGGAAGGTATACTATATATAGGAATATATATTGTCTTTTTTAACCCTTTAATGGTTTCTTCAAAACTTTGGTGGATCACTTTTTGAGTTACTATATCTACTTAAGTGAAATCTACTGAAAAACACTATAAAACTTAATTATTAGAATCAAAATCATTTTTATTGCCATGTTTAATGCCCTAACCCCCACATCAAGCAAACCCGCACTCTCTCTTTCCGCAACCTAAATTCCCTCTGTTCCACCACTCTCTCAACCCACTTATCCCAAACCCTATCAACATCAGAGTTCACCTCTCCCGCAAACACTCCTGACCTGGTATCTTACTACAACAGCACACTCTCCTCCTGCTTAGACACCCTGGCTCCTATCAAAACCGCATCTGTCACTTTCACCCGTTCTGCACCATGGTACACCACAGAGCTACGCAACCTCAAAAAACAACGCCGTCAACTTGAACGCCTTCACAATAAAACCGGCCTCACTGTTCATCTCCAAGCCCTCAATGACCACACTCTCCTCTACAGATCTGCTCTTTCCACAACCCGCACTGCTTTCTATACCGAAATGATCACCTCTGGCTCCTCCAATCCCCGCACCCTGTTTTCCACAGTCAACAAACTTCTTAAACCACCGGACAATATAACTCAATCCTTTACGACAGAAAAATGCAACATCTTTCTTACTTTTTTCAAATCCAAAATCGACAACATCCACCAGCAGCTCACCAAAACCCCCGCTCCTGTCATACCTGACCCCTCTCCCCGAACTGTAAGCCACCTCTCCCACCTCTCACCTATCTCAGAACCAGATCTCCAAAAGTTATTTACAAATATTAAATTCTCCACTTGCCCCCTGGACCCCATCCCTTCGTCTTTCGTCAAATCATGCCTCCCGTCTCTCAGTCCCCTAATTTTAGAAATAATCAACTCCTCTCCCACCTCTGGTACCGTGCCCCCCGCCTTCAAGATGGCAACCATCACACCCATCCTCAAAAAACCAAACCTGGATCCTGACGACCCCAACAACTTTCGCCCCATCTCCAACCTTCCCTTTCTGTCTAAAATCCTCGAACGATCTGTCGCTGCTCAACTCAACAACCATCTCAACTCCAACTCCCTCTTTGACAAATTTCAATCCGGTTTCCGTTCCCAACACAGCACTGAAACGGCACTGCTCAAAGTCATCAACGACCTCCTCCTCACCTCAGATTCTGGCTCCCTCTCCATCCTGCTACTCCTTGACCTCTCCGCCGCCTTCGACACTATTGACCACTCCATCCTCCTCCACCGTCTCCAGTTCACCACTGGCATTACCGGCTCTGCACTCTCCTGGTTCTCATCCTACCTCTCCAACAGATCTCACATCGCCATCAACAACTGCTCATCCCGCTGCATCCCGGTCACCCACGGAGTACCTCAAGGCTCGGTGCTTGGTCCCCTCCTTTTCATTTTTACATGCTCCCCCTTGGCCACATCATCCACCAGCACGGTTTCAATTTCCACAGCTATGCAGACGACACTCAACTTTACCTCTCAGCCAAATCCATAACCTAGGGCTGGGCGATATGGCAAAAAAAAAAAATCTCCGATTTTTTCACACCAAATCCGATTTTCGATTTTAATCGATTTATTTTTTTCTATTTAAAAACAAACTACAACTGACAAAGAAATAGATTTTCCTTTATGCAGTTTAATCTAAATCCCCATGGAGCATAAGTGTAACAGGAATTAAGCCTTAAAACATGCTTGTAAACGAGATGGCTCTGTAAACAGTGAAAATGTAGCTTAACAGTTTTATAATAACTTCACTTACAATGACACTATGCACCTTCAAAATAACTTAAATCACACAAACAAGGCCCATCGCAAATATATCAATCCTATTAAACACATGCATTATTTACATGAAATATCACATTTTTAAAACTGATTACTCAAAATAGAAATGTTGTAACAGTCTTTTCCAAAAGCCTCCTCGGGTTTTCATGCTTGTTCTTTCAACTGTGCCTGAGTAACTGTGCTGTAGTACAACGCTCGGTCCAGCTGGTGGCGCTAATACTAACTTCAGTGACTCCCGCATTGTGCGAGCTTCCTGTTTACATTCTGATGCTGTAGCTAACAGCTACTGTAGCAGCTACTGTAGCTAACAGCTACTGTAGCTAACAGCTACTGTAGCTAACAGACAGCGGGGAACACGTTGTTTGTATCAGAGCAATGAGAGCAATGTGTGAGACGTGTCTTTCCCCAAAGTGCAGCGGCTCAGTGGGACACGAGTGTGTGCGCGCCACGGACACGGGAGTGCGCTTTGGAATAACGAGCGTGAGAGAGATTAAATAAAGTCTGATTCTTGAACGTTTGAAGTGTTATTGCAACAGCACCAACTGTGAGAGCGAGCATCAGGCCAGAGGGAGACTGTTAGCATTAGGTTAGCTTCAAAATGACTGCTCAACACCATAGACCCGCGGTTAGCGCGTTAGCGCTGTAGTTCTGCGCTGGAGAAAATAAAAATCGAATTTTTAAAAAAAGAAATCGCCCTAAACGTAAAACTCGAATTAATGATTAAAATCGATTAATCGCCCAGCCCTACCATAACCCCTGCCACCATCTCCTCCATCACAAATTGCATATCCGCAATAAAATCCTGGATGTCCACCAATTTCCTCCAACTCAACTGCAAAAAATCAGAAATTATTATCGGCCCCAAGTCCCTCCTTTCCAATACCCAGCATTTCACACTCTCCATCGACAGCCACACCATCTCACCCTCTGCTCAGATCAGAAACCTCGGAATCATCCTTGATCCCACCCTTTCCTTCAAGCCCCACATCCGCAACATCACCAAAACTGCCTTCTTTCATCTTAAAAACATTGCCCGTCTTCGCCCATATCTTTCCTCCACCGCTGCTGAAACCCTGATCCATGCTTTCATATCCTCCAGACTCGATTTCTGCAACAGTCTTTTATATGGCCTTCCTTCATCTGATCTCCAAAAACTACAATATGTCCAAAACTCCGCCGCCCGCCTCCTCACTCAGACCCGCTCCAGAGAGCACATCACCCCTGTCCTTCAAAAACTCCACTGGCTCCCCGTTAAACAGCGCATCCATTTCAAAATCCTCCTCATCACCTACAAAGCCCTCCATAACCTCGCCCCTCCTTACCTCACTGAACTTCTACAGCCCTACAGTCCCTCCCGCCGACTCCGATCTGCAGACTCACATCTCCTCACTCCCACTGTCAAATCCAAGCACCGAACCTTGGGGGATCGAGCTTTCGCCATCTCTGCTCCCACTCTCTGGAACTCCCTCCCCCTCCATCTCAGAAACTCGGACTCTCTAAACTCCTTCAAAAAACAGCTCAAAACTCACCTTTTCCTCCGAGCATTTGACTCTTAGTTCAAACTCTCTACCCTTCTTCCTCACTCTTAGATTTTTAGTTTGTGTGTCTGTCTAAACGTGTGTGTTTGTGTCATGAATTTGTGAAGCGTCTTTGAGTTCTTGAAAAGCGCTATATAAAACTGATGTATTATTGATTGACTGCGGAACCTTCCGCAGTCAACCATTGGTTTTGTATTTCTTTATTCCGTCATTTTTTTTGACACGTTTCACAGCTTTCACATTTTCAACAATTTCCACAAGTTATACATCAAAACGTTCCACATGTTTGGGAGATTATTGCTATTACTTTTGGGACTTCAGCGATTTCCGGTTTTTCCGCAATCGGACAAAAATCTGCATTGAGAATTCTGCAATGCATTTTAATAGGCCCATGCATTTTAATAGGACTTCAGCTCTTTCAGACATTTCTACAGTTTCAATGATTCAACAGTTTCAAGGATTCAACAGTTTCAAGGATTTCAGCAGTTTCAAGATTTCAAGAGTTTCAAGGACTTCAACAGTTTCAAGGACTTCAGCAGTTTCAAGGACTTCAGCAGTTTCAAGGACTTCAGCAGTTTCAAGGACTTCAGTGTAATCATGCAACCTAATAGGGATTTTTCCATGTAAACCAGTATAATGCAACTTAATAGGGATTTTTCCATGTAAACCAGTATAATGCAACTTAATAGGGTTTTTTTTCATGTAAACCAGTATAATGCAACTTAATGGGGATTTTTCCATGTAAACCAGTATAATGCAACTTAATAGGGGTTTTTACATGTAAACCAGTATAATGCAACTTAATAGGGTTTTTTCCATGTAAACCAGTATAATGCAACTTAATAGGGATTTTTCCATGTAAACCAGTATAATGCAACTTAATAGGGGTTTTTACATGTAAACCAGTATAATGCAACTTAATGGGGATTTTTCCATGTAAACCAGTATAATGCAACTTAATAGGGGTTTTTACATGTAAACCAGTATAATGCAACTTAATAGGGTTTTTTCCATGTAAACCAGTATAATGCAACTTAATAGGGATTTTTCCATGTAAACCAGTATAATGCAACTTAATAGGGTTTTTTTCATGTAAACCAGTATAATGCAACTTAATAGGGTTTTTTTCATGTAAACCAGTATAATGCAACTTAATGGGGATTTTTCCATGTAAACCAGTATAATGCAACTTAATAGGGGTTTTTACATGTAAACCAGTATAATGCAACTTAATAGGGGTTTTTTACATGTAAACCAGTATAATGGAACTTAATAGGGGTTTTTACATGTAAACCAGTATAATGCAACTTAATAGGGATTTTTACATGTAAACCAGTATAATGCAACTTAATAGGGTTTTTTACATGTAAACCAGTATAATGCAACTTAATGGGGATTTTTCCATGTAAACCAGTATAATGCAACTTAATAGGGGTTTTTACATGTAAACCAGTATAAAGGATAACAGTTTAAAGGATATCAGGAGCTTCAAATACTTCAGGAGTTTCAAAGATGTTTAAAGTATTTTAACAGTTTTTTTCAGCAAGGATTTTTCAGCTAAATTCCACATTAGATCTGTTTCGCAGTCAATCGCAATGGCTTCAGCCATTGCAACGGTTTCTAGTTATTATTATTATTATGTTTATAGCTCATTAGTAACTCTCAGTGCAACAGTCAAAGAAGAGAGGTAAAGAATAGAGTAAGGCATATTAAAAATCAGCATACACTTCTAATGTATAAAAATTATTACAGTTACAATGACTATGTACAATATACAAGTGCACACATGTGCAGTAAGCAGTGCAAGTGTTTATTAGTGCAACACATTAAAAAAAAAAAAAAAAGAATGTGTTTTAGTTTTATTGTGGCTTGTTTGCAGCTGCCCTCTGTGCCGATGTGGAGGAGAAGCTGGTGAGTCACCTTCTGTCCCCAGAACGCTACAACAAGCTCATCAGACCCGCCGTCAACACCAGCCAACAGGTCACCATCTACATCCAGGTGTCCTTGGCCCAGCTCATCAACGTGGTGAGGAAACACTTACGAATGAGAGATGAATTTATGTAAACAAAGCACGAGAAATGTGAAATATGACTCTGAGATTTTACTGCTCTTTTTCCAGAATGAGAGAGAGCAGATCATGACCACGAACTGTTGGCTCTCACAGGTTGTGTCAAATGTACTACGGTATCATGCAAAACTCGAGAGGCAGACATTAACATAAACATGTGTGCATCCGTCTAGGTTTGGAACGACTATAGATTAATGTGGGATCCAGAGGAGTACGAAGGAATCAAGAAAATACGCCTCCCCTCACAGCACATCTGGCTGCCTGACATCGTCCTATACAACAAGTAAGGGTCAATATCTAAAAGTAATAGACCATTGTATGTATGTTTTACAGAGCAAATGTATGAGAGCACGTATTTTCTCTGTACTTCTACACTTTTGTACTGGACTGAAAAATGAAAAGCATAACGGCTATTCAATTTGGAGAGACGAGAAACGAAAATGGTTTTGAGTATTTATTGAGGTGGTTTGGCGCCCTAGGCCCCGGTGCGGCCTTCAGATCGGAGAGGCTCCTGCGATGGAGCGCGTACAATCCCCCGGGACCTAGGCACTGGTGGAGGCAGATTGGAGGCAGATTGGAGGCAGATTGGAGGCAGATTGGAGGCAGATTGGAGGCAGATTGGAGGCAGATTGGAGGCAGAGTGAAGAGGAGGAGGGGAGGCGGTGGTTGCGAGGCTTCGAGAGGCCGTGAAGTGGGAGTTGCTCCGCTTTTAAGCGGCTGCCTGTCCGGCACGGATGATTGGAAGGGGGCGTTTGCTGTGCGATGGCTGGGGAAGCAAACCGGCCTGGAGGGGGTAGCTTTTGGCTGACGTCTACCAAATTGAATTTTCGCGAGCTACATTTCAATTTGGAGAGACGAGAAACGAAAATGGTTTTGAGTATTTATTGAGGTGGTTTGGCGCCCTAGGCCCCGGTGCGGCCTTCAGATCGGAGAGGCTCCTGCGATGGAGCGCGTACAATCCCCAAAAAGGCTGTGTGTGTTGATGGAGTTTTGCAGCCTGGTTTGCAGGGGACAGACGTCGTGGCTGCTCTATGCTGTGACCGCTATCGCTATGCTGTGACCGCTATCGCTATGCTGTGACCGCTATCGCTATGCTGTGACCGCTATCGCTATGCTGTGACCGCTATCGCTATGCTGTGACCGCTATCGCTATGCTGTGACCGCTATCTCTATGCTGTGACCGCTATCGCTATGCTGTGAACCGTTTATGCGCTAACCATTTTTTGCTATGCTGTGACCGCTAACACTAACGCTGTGACCGCTACCACTGACGCTATGACCGCTATCACTGACGCTATGACCGCTATCACTGACGCTATGACCGCTATCACTGACGCTATGACCGCTATCACTATGTGCTGTGACCGTTATATGCGGTTATCTTTGAGTGCCGGGACGTGAGCGCTCGCATCGCGATCAACCGGACGCTGCGGCAGGGTTATCTTTGCGCGCTGGGAACGTGAGCGCTCGCATTACGTTCCGTCAGACGCCGCGGCAGCGGAGAGTGTTTGAGAGAAATGCGTGCCGCCACCAGAATCTTATTGGTTCACTTACTTTGTTTGAGATGAAGGTTGAAAGGGTCAGGGGACATAATGTTGGGTGAAAGAGAGCGACCTTTGTGTAAGCTTCCACTACGTCGAGATTATCACACATGACCGAGATCCTCTTTCTCCGCCACGTGTGATTCCACAGCGCGCAGGCCACGACCACTGGGAATATCTCGTGTAGGGCAGAGGAGATGCTCCGGTGGAAAGTAGCGGCCACGGCCCCGCAACCCGATGGTCCTGGAGAAAAACCCCCCAAAACCCACGGAAGGGGCAGCGTCCGTGTAGAAGCGGAGACCTGGAGGGGCAGAGACATGTCGGAGAGGGCCATTGATGTTGCAGGCGCCCTTACGCTTAGAATCTTGGGTTGGAGAGTAGGTAATCAGGACAGTAGGAAGGTCGGGAAAAGCCGTGTCTCGGACCGCACGAAGGTTGAGTGTGCAGTAGTAAAACGCTTATGCAGAGAAGCCATGGAAGGCGAGCAGGAAGATGCTGCGAGGAGGGCAGACATGTACCTGGAAGATGAGCCGGAGTTCAGCGCCGCTCAGAGCTGCTGCAGGATGGGCAGCATGATGGGGAGCCTGCGATCAGAAGAGTGAAGAACACAGGTATGGATGCCTTTGATTAGGAGTCTGATTGACGGCTCAGCGCAGCTACTCGGCCAGCTGCATCTGATAGAATCGGAAGATTAAGTAGAGATGAAGCATGACCGCCGAAGCGACCCTGGGAGCACAGGTGCGAGTCCAGTGCAGCGCGGCATACTCTGCCGGGCTGCCTCCATTAGAAGCAGGATAAGCTTCTGAGAGAGTGGGTTGCAGCAGTAGCAGTAGCAGTAGCAGCAGCGGCAGCGGCAGTAACCTCAGATAATAACGGCAACGACCTGTATCAGCCGCGGCAGCAGCAGCTGCAGCAGCAGCTGCAGCATCCGTAGATAATAACGGCAAAAACCCTGTATCAAAGCCACGGCATTAGAATATGTTGTAGCTGTTTAGTGTTTCAGTAAGAGAAGCGAAGTGAAGAGAGATGACGAAGTACATGAAGCAGCAGCAGTACGGCAGTAGTAGCAGTATGAAGCAGCAGCGGCAGCAGTAGCTGCAGTAGCGGTAGCAGTATGAAGCAGCAGAAGCAGCATGAAGCAGCAGAAGCAGCATCAGCGGGAGCAGCAGCACCACGAAGCGATTCATACGAACAGACAGACGTGTCACGCCAGTGTGCGCCGCTTGTCTCCATGAGCCAGGTTACATACGTGTCTGGAAGAGCCGAGCCACAGAGACAGGTGCAGCCTGGGAGCCTGCGGAACGGCAGCGGCACATGTAGTAGTAGGGGCAGCAGGAACAGGCAGCAGGGACAGACGGCAGCAGGAGCGGCAGCAGGAACAGGCAGCAGGAGCGGCAGCAGGAGCGGCAGCAGGAGCGGCAGCAGGAACGGCGGCGGCGGGATCGGCATCAGTAGGAACGGCAGCGGGGACCGGCAGCAGCGGCGGTCAGAGAACCATGCCCACGGTTGTTTAACAGCCTGAGGAAATAAATCAACCCGAATCCGAAACATTCCCATGCGAATAACAGACGTCCCCTGGAGCCATCTTCTGCTTTGGTTATGGCAGATGCGCATGAACGATCACTGATCCATGCGTTCATAGCTCCAACACTACTTCACACCCATTGCAGATTCACGTTCGGCCCTTTTTCTTCCTGCTGCACTTTCCAAATGCAACACTGCAGTTAGTTACCTAATTTAATACCAGCGACCTAGCTATTTAATGCATGGCTTTACTGCAAGTGGCAGAACATGATCTGAATTAATGCACATAGCTCCTCGTATATCCCTCAGACGATAGAGATTGATGCCATTTAATATGCATTGCCCCTCAGTTAGCTCAGACACGTGTGAAAACGGAGCCTGCAGACCAAGCTCGGGGCGAAAAAACTGGCGCCTGCAGTCAAGTGCGTAGGGCAAAAACCAATCGCCTGCAGCCCAGAACTCCGGGATTAATCTGTCCGCGGTCAGCACACTCACTGTACTCACATGCCAGGAGACTTGCGAAAAGCAACGGGACAACGCGGCACCGCCAGACCGTCTGCGTGCGGCAGCAGACCACGAGGAACGAGCCGCACAGAAACCCGCGGAGGGCCCCGCGGAGCAGCCCGCAGAAAGAGCCCGCAGAGGAGAGAGGAGCAGTGGGGATATGCGAACCACAGCAGTGCAGGGACGTGGAAGAGGAGCAGACCAGTGCAGGGACGCGGAGGAGGAGCAGACCACAAGCAGCCAGACGGAGGACGCCAGGGACGCGCCGAGTAGCGTGAGTAGACAAAAACGATTCCTCCAGACGATTCTCTGCAAGGCTTCAGGAGCATGCGAGGCTTCGAGAAGGCCGAGAGTGGGAGTTGCTCCGCTTTTAAGCGGCTGCCTGTCCGGCACGGATGATTGGAAGGGGGCGTTTGCTGTGCGATGGCTGGGGAAGCAAACCGGCCTGGAGGGGGTAGCTTTTGGCTGACGTCTACCAAATTGAATTTTCGCGAGCTACATTTCGAACTCCACAACTGAGTAAATGTCACGGACGAAAGTTAGCACCCACCAAATCCTTGTGCGAACTTTCAAAATCCTCTTTAAGAATGAGACCGTGTGTGGTAGTCCTTATTTTTCCCAGTAAATAAACCAATAAAATTCAAAAACATGGACCAAATCTCTGCACAGTTCTCGGAAATGCTTTTTATTCTAATTTTTAAGCTCTCATTTATTAATAGGAACTTCAATACTTTTACTTAATTTGAGCGTTCTCTGACACATTAGTTAGTCCAGTTTCTTGCTTCTCCTCCGCATCTACTAAAGTAACAAAAGTAGAATTTGTGACGCAAGTAGTTATTTTTTAGAAATTAAATGTGTGCAATACCTCAGACTCCGCCAAGTGTTTAGTGCCAGGGCAGCACCTGGCCGTCCTCATCCCTCAAAAGGATAAATTCGAAAATTACAAGCCACTTATCAGTTTGATGTCGTGTATGATGTTTTCATAATATCTTAAAACGGTGATAAATATTGAAGTAAATATTGACTTGCATTAAATTCCACTCTTGGCTCAGGTCTCTACTTGTACCACTCTCTATTGGATAAATGATTATTTGCAAGAGCTGTGCAGTATTTGGCTTCCTGTCAGCAGTACATTTATGGCATCCTCTTAGGCATTAAACTCAGCCAGCTGGAGATCCCATTAAAATCATGACGGAGGAGTCTTGAGAAGTGTAATGATGGAACATGATCAGCAGTTCTATATGACTCCATGTCAGGTCAGTGGCCTGTAGTGAGGAAGTACCAGAGGTGCAAGCTCTGCATCTTTAATTACTCTTCGTCTTCATACAGCCAAAAGCATTAGAGACGTGTGTGATGCTTGGATTCTTGACTTTCTTTATAATTGATAGTCCACTTATCTATAATGCATCTGCTGCAGTCTTGCTGAACAGGGGAAAAGGTGGTCTCAGCACATTTTAGACGCGCTAGAACTTTACTCTTGGGACAAAAAAATTAACAAACATAACAAGTTACAAGTATTTGCTTTGTTCTATCACACCGCTGAGTCTTTTGATCCTGCCTTCAATCCTTTTATGTTTTTTACCTAGAAATAATAAACCCAGAAAAACCTACTTGATAAGCTAAGACAGAGGTGTCAAACTCATTTTGGTCCAGGGACAAATGTAAAGTGTACTAGCTCGTTAGGGCCTGAACCATAAAACTGGTTTCTCAATGAAAAGGTTGATTTTTTTGTATATTATTTGTTTACATTTAAAAGGTATTTTGACTAAAGGATTACTTTTGTATAACGTGATTGGACATTACTTTAAAACAAACAAGAACCAAAATAAATTCAGTTTCTCTTATTTTGGATTGAACCAAAACTAGACTAAAGGAAAAGAACACGATTTGTAGACTAAAGGACCAATGATTTATTTCTTTAATTCAACTATATCTAATTCAAATGTTACAATAAATGACACGGAGACATGATACAGGGAGAATAGCAGCTTTAAAATGAGGTATAACTCAACATGCTATGGTCGCCATATTAACATTATGACCAGTTAATTATAAGAACTGAAAACCAGTTCAGGGCCCACTAAAAATGGGCCTTGTGTTTGTCATGTGATCTAAGGAGACTATAAAAATAATGATGGATTGATAGTGGCTTTTGTGTGCACCAAATGTGCACACAATATGCTTATATATTGAACTAAGCAAATACTATACCACTGCTCTTGATAATTATATGTATGTATTGAGTCAAACATTGATCATCTTTCTATTTTCAGTGCGGATGGAACCTACGAAGTGTCCTTCTACTCCAATGCTGTTGTCTCTAATAACGGCGAAGTGAATTGGCTTCCTCCTGCAATCTACAAGTCGGCCTGCAAGATTGAGGTGCGAGATTTCCCCTTCGACCAGCAGAACTGTACGCTAAAGTTTCGCTCTTGGACATACGACCACACCGAGATTGACCTTATTTTGCTGAGTGACTACGCTAGCCGCGACGACTTCAAACCCAGTGGCGAGTGGGACATTGTTTCTCTGCCTGGGCGCAAAAATGAAGACCCTGATGACATTCGTTATCTGGACATCACCTATGACTTTGTGATCAAGAGGAAACCGTTGTTTTACACTATTAACCTGATCATTCCCTGCATCCTCATTACATCTTTGGCTATTCTGGTTTTCTACCTCCCATCGGACTGTGGCGAAAAGATGACACTTTGCATCTCTGTCCTTCTGGCGCTAACTGTGTTCTTACTTCTGATCTCGAAAATTGTCCCGCCCACGTCTCTTGCAGTGCCTCTGATTGGGAAGTACCTCATGTTTACAATGGTTTTGGTCACATTCTCTATTGTCACCAGTGTCTGTGTCCTGAACGTCCACCACCGCTCCCCCAGCACCCACACCATGCCACCGTGGGTCAAACGAGTCTTCTTGTATCACCTCCCTTCGTTTCTGTTCATGCGGAGACCAGGGAGTTCAAATATCCGCGAGAAATTCCGGAAAAAACACCAGCACCACTCTTATACAGATAAAAAGTTGGACAGGAGCTGCCCATCTCCTATCGCAGGCTCTTCCTCGTCGTTTTACGTGAATGAGGAGTCGGCCAAGCGCTACGGCTGGAAGGGGGGTCTGTCGGACAACTCTGAGTGCAGGAAAAGGCTGACCCTCAAGAGCAACATCGATATGGAGGACGCTGTGGATGGAGTGAGATACATCGCAGAGAAGATGAAGAGCGAGGATGACGATGAGGGGGTATGTATTTGTCAGCAGTATCACAACTCATTTTGACATATACACAACTGCATCTGCACCTCAATCATGCAAAACTATGTTCATGAGCATTTCTCTATTGGGCTTAATTGAGCTAGGGGTTAGCATCGTCCATCCGACCCACCCCTCCTTGTTCTATGCGAGGCTCCTTGTTGTTCTGCAGTTCACATTGATTTAAGTGCACACAGCAGCATGGGTATTCCTGGGCTAGGACTTAACCTTAAATCAGCCTGAATTTGGATTTATTTGGGTTTAAACAACAGTATATGTTTGGATTGGCAGATACGAGGGGTGGTCCCTCATGCATTCATTACATTATTGTGGGATCACACTCCTGAGCCTCTCCTGCAAGGCCTACTTCATGCTTTAGGATCTCCTGAAGCATGGGTATTCCAAGGCTCTCAGTCTGTTTTAAAGAGCAGTGCAAATGCTGCATTGTATCGTGCCAAGCACAAGACTCATTGCTCACACTTTACATGATGACCATCAGCCCACATTGACCAAAGATGGCAGCGTGTTGAGGATGCCTAAGGATAAATATATTCTTTTTTGAAATTGTTGAAGAGGATGCATTTGTCCCTATGTTTTGGTTTATGATCATGTTTATATTTCATAGATCATAGAAGACTGGAAGTACGTGGCCATGGTAATAGATCGCCTCTTCTTGTGGATCTTCGTCATGGTGTGTGTGATTGGGACCCTGGGCCTCTTCATGCAGCCACTGTTCCAGAGTTACAACACTCCCATTGTTGAGGACATAGAGCAGACTGGAAAATAACTCAACCCTGGCGGTAAACAAGCCCAGCAGACGCGGAGCCAGACACTGTCTGTCTGGGACCCTGCACTTTAGCCCCTGTTTTGTGCAGCCTTTGGCTCTTTTCCTTTACAGTGTTGAACTGGGACAGACAGACTAAAGAAAAAACTCTTGGACCAAAATAAAAGCTGTCGCAATAATATTTTGCACTGTCTTTAACTGTCCCAAAGCATCAAACAGCCAACATCAGTTACATTTATGTTGTAATATGTTTATTTCACCATTTTGAGCATGCATTTATAAACAAGACACTGTAGCTTGTTTCATTGTAATTCCTTATGTTTTCATTGAACATTTTAATGTTGGGCTTATATCTTAATCACTCCCAAGTCCTCCTTATTACGACTTACAAATATTTGTGTCTATAATGCCTTTTCCTACAGCATATGTGCAAATTCTGCCTTTGGAAGGCTGAAAAGCAAAAATACAGAATGATTCATAAGTGCATATTCAAGATCTAAAGAATATTCCTTTACCTACACGTTCACATCCTTATTTACTGCACTCTGAAGCAAACAGTGAGGACCAATCTGTGATCATTAATCAGATCTCACTCTCTCTCTTACCGTGTAAACTGACTCCTTTCCTGGCAAATCATTGCTTTTTTAAAAGTCTAAATAGCAGCTGATATTATCAATGCATATGTGCCATCACTACCTCAGCTGAAGCCTCTCACTCCCAAGTCACTCATAGATCTAATCATACAGCAATGAGTTTGGGCAATAGCAACAACATTATCTTGTTATTTTATTGTTATTATTTTTACTTTCATTAATGGATATCCAGGACTGAAGTTACTGGGGCAGAGACCTTGTGTTTTAGGATGATCTGATCCAAAAATTTGGAATGTGATTCTATTAAGAACATTCAATCTGTATGTTATATTTCACATTAAGAATTATCACTGCTATATTAAAAAAAAAAAAAACAGCTCCTCTTGTGTGCTGACAGAGATGACTTGTGCCTGTTTTTGTTGTCCATGGATAAAGCCACCAATCAGATACTGTTACTCATAACCATTTAGTGTATTTACTTCCAAACAATATAATTCATCATCTTTAATGCTACTACACCACGTGAATGGCAGCGAGTGAAGACATGAGATGTGTTTCAGCTGGTGTAAATAATGTTTCTCAGGAGAGGACTTTGTGAAATGCTTGTTCCTCTACACTGGGCTTTTATTGAAACATGAGCCAACATTGTTCTAATGCACTTCCCTGTCCTGGCTGTGTCCAACTGAGGTGTAATGTGCTAATCCAGTCATCGAGATCTCTGAGGTGATAGAGTGAATAACTTTTCCACTTGTAATGTGTGTGTGCATTGTATAGTACATGATATTTTAAAGTAAGTGACTGTCATGGGACCCGATAACCTGATACGGATCAATAAAGGAAACTCCTTGACTAAACATGAAACCTAGTGCTGAATTCTTAGCTACAAAATACATGTGAGTCAAAATCTCCCAGCATCCTCTGCGTCTCTCTTTCTGCAGAAAATGGGTTAACAGTAATCCTCCAGATAAACTGACAGCCATTAAATTGGGCCTGGGTTTAGTAATTATGGCTCCTATTTGTACCCCTCTTGCAGTCTGTGAACGTGTGGCTCATAAATTGCTTCTCGACATTTGCATCAATTTCAATTAGGAGAGTAGACACATGAGGCGGAGGGTGATGGGGAGACACAGGGTGGGCAATGGTGCTGCTCGTTTGGGGTCGCCATACACTAATAAGTGCACGGAACAAATACAGTGGACTTACATTATTTTTTATCCTCGTCCTTGCCCTGCACCAAAATATAGACTGAAGTGATCCCATACTGATGGTTTTTTTCAGTATGAATGATTTCTTATAGTGGGCTTGCATCTTCACACAGACAGCTAAAGCTATTATATACACTCATTAACATAATACTCATTAATAACATCTTATGAGTACTAAAATATTTCTTCATTAGTAAGTACAAATATCCCTTGTTAATGAAGCTTATTTGTTCGTAAATGTATAATAGCCATTTTTTAATCAGTAGGTACTTTGTTATTAAATTATTACTTAACATTTATACATGATTTCTTATCAAACATTATATATGTTACCGCAATTGCTTTCATGAAAATGTTTCTTTGGCAGAAGGAGAAGGAGTGGACTGACCGAGTGCTGGCCTCACCTGATTTGAACAGCAGCCAGTTGGAATCAGGTTCTTTATATGGGCCAACAGGGTTAGCTTTGTGCTGTAAAAGGGGCACATGCAAACGATTGTGTTGTTTACATGGTTGTGAAGGCACGCTGGAGTTTACCCTGTGAATGAAGATATCTGATTGGTCAAGTTGTTAGGGCTCAGATCTAGATTTCCAGAAGCAGTCTTAAACTAAAACCCCCAGGATCAAAATGCTGAGTGTGACATGAACGGTTACTGAGCTAGAAGAGTTTACTTTTCACCTAAAACAGTGAACGCTCCAGTGATCTCTGAATTATATGATTTTTTAGTGTGTAGAATCTTTAATGAATAGAAAATGGAAAAGTGGGACAAACAAAATCCCTGTCTCCATGACTGTACAAAACACCCACCGAATTCACCAAAACTTCACTTGCTTGTAGATAGAAACCTTCAGAAAACCTTTTGGAATGGTGGATGATTCATATGGACTAAACTCAGGATTTACATTGTGGACCTTTCAAATCTGATTTATCATGTCCATGCCCTTTAGAACTCCCAAAGTACTGATGAGAAGCTAAAGATGGTGTTTGTGACTGACGGTGCCACACTACTACAACACAGATATTTATTGCTAATCTTTACAACATTGTGCGATCTTATCAGGCCATATTTGTGATGGATGAAGACTTTCTATTGTGTGTCAAAGAATCGAGGGACCTCAACTTGATATACAAGAAAGCTACAAACAGAACTTTTAGGTCAAACTAACTCTGTGAATGAGCAGCTGATGCAGAAGGATTAAAGCAAACGAGGAAATGGAGAAGTGATCAGGGGCCTCCATACCCCAGGGTCCAGCTGGAGCCCACATTACCGCTGGACATACTATAGAACATCTATCTTTCAAAGAGAAAAGGCAGGATGGAATGTGGTTTCAGAGACATGGCAGAGAGGGGAAGAGTTTATTGATCTAAAAGTTACATATTATTTGCTCTAATACTGATAATAATTGGGCTGCACGGTGGCTGCACTCTCGCCTCTCAGCAAGAAGGTCCTGGGTTCGAATCCCGGTCGGAACAGGGCCTTTCTAAGTGGAGTTTGCATGTTCTCCCCGTGTCTGCGTAGGTTCCCTCCGGGTGCTCCAGTTTCCCCTACCACTAAAAACATGCACAATAGGCATGAATGTAAACGAGAGAGTGAATGGATGGTGTTGATTGGAGGCTGATGCGCCAGTGTGCAATATCTGAACTCTGAATATTGTAAAGTGCTTTGGGTGTCCTTGGTCTGTAAAATGTGCTATATAAATAAAAATAACGTATTGTATGCTTAATGAGTGTGCTTTTCAGCACACTCATTACTCATACACAGTGGTGAAAAACTACTACAGTAGCCACAGCTGCCCTGAGGCACACTGACAGTGGCGTATAAGCCATCTGCCCCTCCGACCTTCACCAGCCACTCTCACACACCAGACTTATTCTAGGCAGTGTGGGTGAAATATCTTGCCTAAGGACTCAACAACAATTTGGCACTTTACAGCCGCACCTGGTGTTCCCAGAACTCTCCCATCAAAGTACTAACCAGGCTCTAACCTGCACAGCTTCAGAGGTAGTAGTAGTAGTAGTAGTACACAATAACATGCACAAATAATTCAAGAAAGACTAAAAAAATAGGGCTCAAAAGGAGAAGGCCGAAGCAAAAAGCTTATATGTGCCTTCCCCATTATCAATGAATTAATTTAAGCGGATGCAAAATATTTAAATTTTCACATGACATTTTTGCCATCATCATCTGTCAGGTTTGACGGGATCTGGATTTTGCATGCAAGTATGGCCTTAACACTACAAATGCGCCCATTACAACTTTTCAAAGTGGGATTCTAAGTAAATAAAAGAAACATAGATGGAGGACATCCTAACGGGGAAAAAAAATCCTTTCTAATCTCATTCTCAGCTTGAATAAAAAGTAAATCACTTTTCTTCTACAACTACTTTTACATACTATGTGTTATATTTCTGTCAGCCAGTCCAATATGCGCGTGAACAGGCAATGAGTAACAAGCGCCTTCAAAGAGACCAAGACGAGATATGAGTGACAGAGATGATGGAGCCTGGTCATAAAAGTCGAGACAAAAGATTTCTGCAATCTGTTGAGCTGCACTGGAGCAGACAGTAAACACCAGAAATCAATAGACCAATGGTTTCTTCTCTGCAGACAAAGCACAATAAAACTCATTTGAAATCTGCATGAAAACAGCAGTGGTACATCATATTGGGGCCTATACTCTAAGAAAATAAACAAATAACCCATGGTACACTAAAAAAAAATTATGCATGGCAAATACATCTGACTGATCAATACGGTTTACTGTAATATATATAGGCAGTATTGTATTTTAACTGTATTATATGAGCTTCCTGTCTTTAGTAGCTGCATGGCTTCTGTCTTGACCATTATCCCTGGGTGTCCTTCTTGGATTTATGACCAGCGCCCCTGCTTTGGGGTCGATATTTATGAAGTAGGCCAGGACGTGGTGCTGCGGTACCTTTTGAAAGCAGTATAAGTAAAAGCAGAGGACTGTTGTGGGAGAGCAGAATGCAGGGATAAAAGAGGGTAAAGATAGACCATAAGCACCCCGAACACTGAGGAGGCTACTCGACTGGTGTTCAGAATGGTACGCACCTTAGAGCCATAAACACATCTATATATATCTCAATGTTGAACAAGGGCTCCTCCAGTCTATGGGCTCCTCAAGCTGCTGTAAAGAGCCATCTGCTGCCCACTAGTGGTCACAGCAGACATTACATCCAGCCACTGAGGTATTCTAGGGCAGTTGGACGCCATCTAGTTGAAGAGTGAGCAATTATGTGTTTTTTTTTTTTTTACTGTACCGTACTACTACTGTACTGTATTACCTCCGGGGCGGGCTACACGGTGGTGAAGTGGTTAGCACAAATTCTTTACAGCAAGAAGGTCCTGGGTTCAATTCCACCTCCAGGCCTTTCTGTGTGGAGTTTGCGTGTCCTCCCTGTGTCTGCAAAGGTTTCCTCCGGGTGCTCTGGTTATAGGTCTGGCATTTGCCTCCTGTACTGGCGACCCGCTCCCATCTCTGTGTGGAGTGAGAGACATATTGCCCAGACCAATTGTGAAGCGCTTTGTGATTCTCTGTCTGTGAAAGGCGCTATATAAATAAATATTACTTACTTACTAACACATATTCTACTTTACTACGGATTATTCTGACATTTTACTTTTACATTTCAAATCAAATATCAGTACTTTCTTCTTACATTATTAAATGACTTTAGTTTCTTAGACGCGACAGCTTCTAAGTGAATTAATTGTTGTTAGCCATGCTTCTAACTTTAGAGAACCTTTAATACCTTGAAAAGCTTTTACACTTCTACTTAAGTAAGGCAATGATCCAAATATGTTTTACCATAGTTTATTTTTTATTCTCGTGACTATACTCTTACAGAAGTCCTGAAGGTCAGTATATTTTCCACTTGGCATTGTGTTGACGGATTTAATTTAGTATAATTTGTGTGTCATAGATGATTTTGCTTTTCAGGATAGACCTCACATTTTGTATTTTCAGTAAAAAGTGATACTTCCAAATGGTAGGTCTAACTTATTTGTACCAGTTACAGAACAGCAAAAAACCTTTCAAGGAAAATATGTCAATAAAAAGGACACATGTAGTTAAATGAATTGACAGTCAAGTAGAGACTAGAAGCTTTTGGGATTCACTCGTTTAGACTGAAAGCATTTCTGCAGCACACACACGCTCAGCTGAACGAATAAGGGTGTTGTTTCATACTTAAATAGCCATAACAACATAATGCTTGAAGTTTGCACACTGCAGATGCGAAAGCCCCAGCTTAATTATGTGCAAAGGGACTGGACCAGATGAATGTGGTCTGAACATTGTGAAGAGAGTTTAATTGGTCAACAAACCACAACGTGACCAAGCAGTTGTAGAAAAGAGAACATCAGAAATAACAATATGTGTGGTGTGACTGTTGAATTAAAGCAGAAATGTGATGCATTATTTTTGTCCTATAAAAGAAAAATCATAATGAGCCGAATTAATTTGTTGATGCTTGCTTTAGAATGTGAAATATTCTTATAATTCTTTTTTTTTTTTTCCAAATTTGATTATTACTCGCTGCAAACACATGGGCTTTTGAGAAAATATCAAACTAATTTAGGGTCAATACTTTTGTTTTAAGATGCAGAAAACATCTCTGAGCGGGATGTCATAATGGTACAATGACAACATACTATTACAGGACTGATGTTTGTGCCATAAGTTAGAGAGAATGGCTCCAGTCAGGTTTGTTTTTGATGAGGGAAAAATTTTGTAGCAAGGTTAAAAGCTCAAAAAGTCGATTTTGAATATATGTCATTTAACAAAACAGTTATTTGAAAGCAAAAAGACTGGAATACCACAATAAGATACGAGAACACATGGAAATCTGTTTTTTATTTAGGAAGATTGTATTGAATTTGTTGTTTTGAATGACATGAAGCAGACTAGATTAATCTGATGCCATTTTGTATCAGACACAACCTCTTTAATTATACAAGTTATGGAGCAGCAGAGTGCAACTTAAACCGGTTAGATGTCTCATGTGTGAGTGACAGGCAATTGGCTGCGACTGTGAGCTGCACAGAGCAAAGAAAAAGATTGACACGCTTCATTACAAATAAAAAGGGAGCAAGCGTTTTGACCTCAAGTGAAACTGGAAAGAAAGGTTTTGGATACATTTTGTCAATTGAGAAACTAAGGATTAGATTAGTTTAAAAGTGAGGAAAGTAGTAAGAAAACAGTTGACTCAAACTGGAAGTGAGTTGCCCTTTTTCTCTCTGCTCCACTGGGCCCTCAAGGTTTCCCTGGTCTGAGCATGTGCCTGTTGTCATTAAACTCGGATTGTATTTAAGAAACCACTAAACAAACTGTGAAATATAACGCATTGCTTTAGAAATACAGTTATATTATGCGTAGATTTTGTCTATCACAAAAATGATCTCTCTGGAATCCAAATCAAGAGCTTAAAGCTACTCATATCAGGGAGATGACCACTGTCCATGAATGTTTATAAATGTTCATAAATGTCCTTGAATGTCCCAAATCATCACTGTCCTTATAGACTCTCCTACATCCATACGGAAAAATCCCAATACCCAGTGGGAATAAAGTGAGAACCTTTTGGGGAAGCCCATATGGTAGCAGAGGCTTCCAGGCCAGCCACTATATTATATTAATAATTACCCCTCATCCACTATACAATTTCTACTCAAGATAATATTTCATCCTCTAAAACATGAAATGACAAAGTAAATAGTCTCATTGCAAAAATAATGTGTAATATGTTTTTTAAATAACTGTAAACCAAACGAGAGTCTTGAATGTCTACCATTATCTTCACCATCACCTCTAAATGCACCTCGACTTTGTGAAAAGCTTCTCAAAAACAAGACTAATTGAGCAGAAAATTCTCTGTTCCCTTTTTTCCACCATGGTTTCGACGCATTTACTCCAGATGATAGCTCAATCATTACTTTTCAAGATGGCTCCACAATAACATTGATGCTTCACAGCAGTGGCAGTAACAGGACACACCTGACCTCACGTTAAAAGCATTTTGATATTGCATGGCAGTTTACTGGGTCAAAATGTACAAATAAATGGCCAACATGTGATGTGTTTGAGTACATGCGATGTCCAATGAAATATTAATGTCAAATTCAGCAAAAAGGCTTTTTTGTCCATTTGGTCATATCAGACATTCACTATCGTTATCTCTGCTCCCTTTGAGGCAGGCAAAAAGACTGGAATGAGAAAAGAACTAAACAAATGCAGTACAGTATTATCAGGTAAAGCTTATGTGCTTTGGCTTATTGAGCTAATGATACTTTCACAGAATCTTCCTGCAGCTCTATCTGTGTAGGCAAATTGTAAAGAGAGATTTAATCTAAATTGCTACACTATGCATCAAGCCGATTTGGTGCAATCCGCAGGGCCATCAGCAACAGCAGAGAAGGCTATGAACCTTCCCCCCTCCCCTAAAAACAGGATATTGGTCTGTGTGGCTTTTCCAAAGAAATCTAGTATAGGCTACAGTCATCTACAAAAGTCAAGGTGCAGCATTTGAACTCGATTCTTGAATCCCAAACCAGACACTTGTATCCGTCCAAAAGCTGTCGTCAAATCTCGGTGTGAAATTGTTCTTTACCCGTGCGTCACGTACGTGAGTCAGGTCGTGGAGTCTGGCCTGGTGGGTGAGGGAGGGGGAGAGAGTGGATGTGGAGTTGGTCCATGGCAGAGCGCAGCGCGGATCCAAGCTCTCCAAGCGCGCACACGACATGTCTCCGTGATCCTACATAGATCCAACGACTCCACGGGACAATCGTGCGAGAATTAACAGCACTTATCGTGACGCGCGTCTTCCGCGGCTGAAGCACAGATGAATTTCACCAAAGTTTCACGCGTCCTGCTGGTGATCCTGCTCGCAGCGCAAGGTAAGGTCGAGATCAGCATCCTGAAGTTTAAGAGCTATGCTTATAATCTCGTGTACCTATTAATTCAAACTGTTTTTGGGGGATTTACAGTAAGTCTTGTGCTTTAGACATAGAAGGTACGCACGCGGTGCAACTTCCATCCTCCTTTCAAACATTTATCAAGTTGTTTCCAGAGAGCAGTACGCCTCGTTGAAGCAGAACTCTGCTCTAATCCTATTTGAAATGCAACATGCAAATGCTCTTTCTGCCCTTCTGCAAACTTGAGCGTGTGCTGAAACGGATCACGTGGGTGTTATGCCAAAATACCAGAGTGCGCTTGAAGTCGTGAAGACAGCTTCAGGGTGTAGGCTTCCTCCATGGTGCGACATTTCATCTGTGATTGATACTTGACTCAAGACCTTCAGATCCACTACTAATGGAGATATCTGATATATGGCTTTTCGTTATGTACAATAAAACTCAACATGTGGCCCATTGTCGGTAAACACAACCCACGTGCACATCTGGGGTAAAAGGTTACATTAGATGGATGATTTGATAAAATGCGTTTCTGTAAAAGCTCAGGTTTCCCATGTGGCTTTGTCAACTCAGCTCATTTGCCTCAAAGTTGACATTTCTGTGTTAGTCTGTCTTCGTCTCTAACACAGCATCCTGCTTCAGTTTTATCCTTAGATGTGCCCCAAAGGATCTACTGCAAAACAAACTCCTCTTAACAACCAATACTTTTGATTCTTTTTCTAAGTCAAGAGTTGCATAAGTTTTTTGTAAGATCCCAAATAAATAGTATGAAAATGTCAAATCAATATTCTCTCTATGCATCAGTGGGCAGTGTTGCATAAGCGTCCATAGGAAGTTTTCTATTTCAAGAACATAGCTCATGATCCAGTATAAATCATTGAAGGCAGAACTATATAATGAAATCACATGAATGCTGCTTTAATGAACAAGTATAGTCATATTTTTTTCCAGGGCTTATCCCCTTGAGCTTTCCCCTCAGGGACGTGTGTTAAGTGCCTTCATATAGTCACGCTCCAGTCGCCAAGCGAGACAGTGCCTTTTCACATCCTCTAACCTGAGCAGCACCCAGGGGACCCTCATGTGGTGGACGGATATGTGTCCGCAGACCCACACAGGCACTCGCTCTCATCCTCGGCTGCTGCAGTCAGATTTGTCACAGCTTTGTTGCTATGCCCTTGAACTAAGAGACATTGAAAAGATTGTGTTCAACTGTGAGAGGGCTCGCCATTCTCCAGATTATTAGGAACAGGTCTTTCGAAGTTACAAGGATGTACAACTCACTCTTTTGGTATAGTGAAGCTGTAAAGACATTATTATTAAGTAGAACAGTGCAGAGAATCAAAAATCATGCAATATTTCTTTAAAACGGTGCAGGGTTATATTTCCACAATATAATTTCCCCCCTGTATGCACAAATGTATATAACGTTTAAATATAATCAAAAATTAAGAAGAAAAAAGGAATAAAAAAAAAAAGTTGTCCCTGGGGAGGTGTTTTGGGTACGTCCCACCGGGAGGAGGCCCCGGGGAAGATCCAAGACACGTTGGAGGGACTATGTCTCTCAGCTGGCCTGGGAACGCCTTGGGCTCCCCCCAGACGAGCTGGAGGAAGTGTGTGTGGATAGGGAAGTCTGGGCGTCTCTGCTTAGACTGCTGCCCCCGCGACCCGGCAACGGATGAAGCGGAAGAAAATGGATGGCAAGGCAAGTTTATTTGTATAGCACAATTCATACACAAGGCAATTCAAAGTGCTGAACAAGACAGCATTAAAATCATAAATAATCACAGTACATTAAAAAAATATAAAAATATAAATCCCTCAGTTGTATGCACAGCTAAACAGAACCGTCTTTAACCTGGTTTTAAACATTGTCAGAGAGGAGGCCTGTCTCACATGGATGGATGGATGGATAATTTTTGTCCCCAGATCTCCCAGCCCTTCTTCAAGATGCTTATGACAATAGTGAAGGACATATTCAAGGAAGGCTTGAAAAGAGAAATATTTTGTGTTAGTTTTTATGTTGTAAAATTGTATTTTATTTGGAGAGCAGGTGCAAAACAATGAAATGTTGACCAAGAAAAACATTAATATCTTTGCCAACATCATGCAATTTAAAAAAATAAAAAAATATTGTCACCACTTATATATTTTTTTCTGAGATAATAATAATATTTCAACCAAAGTTGACATGTACTGTGGATTGGCCCAGGAATTACAGCTAAATTAGCTCTAAATCTTTCCATATGGTAGCTTTTTGAACTCCACCACAGTGTGAAATTTTAGGCTCTTTGTGATGTTGTGATTCCATGTGAACGCTGTCAGCTGCATTGGGAACTTGTCTTATCACATTTGCAAGTTTTAATTTTCTCTTCAGTGTCCGCCTTGAAAGAACTTAAACAAGTATAAAGTGGAGAAAATGGTCAGTGGAAGGTTCAGGGTGGCCAACAGCATCAGCAGTAAAATCCCCCTCACACTGTTTGGCCCTGGGCTTGTGTGTATGTGTGTTTGTGTGTATCTTAGACCAGGGCTGCTTGTTCAGATAAGTGTCCAGTAAACCTGCACAGACCACATGCACTGTCTCCCAGTGGGGGGCCGATTAGTGGGCTTCAGAAGGTATTGTCCATCCAGGATCATGTGGATTTTCCATAGGAGAACTGCTGATCCCACTCTCCTTGGGATTGTGGATGTTTCAGTCAAAAATGAAATATTCAGTGCGTAGAAGTGTTGTAGTGTATTCCATGTCATGTGGAGTAGTGGCAGTGACTAGTTTCAGTCAGATGTCTTTGGTGGAATCTGCTTGTAGAACCATTTTGGACCATGGTCCATCCACATGAAACACAAAGCAAAATGACCTTTCTGTTTGTGTGAATGAATACAATTTAAATAGCTTTTTTAAACAGAGTCGCTCTTTGGTTCATGTATCTGCAAATACCAGAGCAGGGATTGAACATAATGATTTATGAATGATTTATGCACACTTTATGATTTATGAACACTAATGAGTAGTTGATTTTGTAACAAGATCATATTGATAAGAAATGTAATTGGTTGAACCGTTATTATGGAAGCTGGACAAGGTAATCAGGGAGTCCAGCTCTGTCCTGGGCTGTTCCCTGGACACAGTGCAGCAGGTGGGGGACAGGAGGGTCCTGGACAAACTAACATCTATGCTGAACCATGACTGTCACCCACTGCAGGACACTGTCTGCTCTGGAGAGCAGCTTCAGTGACAAACAATTATAGCTCCAGGGTTTATTTTATTTTATTCAATTTTACCATTGTGTTATCTTAAGTATTTGTATCTTATCTTAAATAATATACCCTGTTTGATGTATGCTCTTATTTCCTTCTTTTTCTGCTGTAATGTGCACAACGATGACACTGAAATTTCCCCACTGTGGGACAAGAAGGATCTTATCTTATCATATTTTTGAACCAATATTCTCTACACAAAAAAAACCTGGATTTGGGTCGATATCCAATACTGTCGGTGCTGGGAGTCAGAGTAGATTCAGAAAATCCCAAAGATGTGATAAATGGGTGTCATGAAGAGCTGCCTGAAACTATTGATTACTATGATATTAGAAATAAAGCTGAAATTAAGCACCAGAGGACATCCCAAGAAACTTTGTTTTGTTTTATCAACGATAACAAGACATTTACACAATGTCAAATCTAATTACTGCACTGTTTGAGTTTTAAAATCACTCCCATGCATGAAATGGTTCATTAATTAATGCAGAAAACTTTCTCTACAACTCTCTAAGAAATACCAATGAAACTCTAAAGGTTAATTGGCCTCCACTCTCCATCTGAGTACCAGGGCTTTTTGAGTAGATAAGGTAGTTTTATAAAATATTTATATACATATGTTTACATCTTTATTGAGCCTAAAACCCTTGATCTCACAATAAACCTGTTTCTATGAGGCTTTAAATCTTGCACTCAATCTCTTCAGATCCTCAAAGACAAGCTTTTGAAAGCAGCAAATCTGTGACTGGTTTATTTTAAAGAAAAAAAAAAAAAACAGTGTCATATCAATTCAGTAATCAAACGTCTTTTTCCAGTGGTTTATTCTAAATTCTGCAGAGCTTTTTAATCTAAGTCGGCTTGTGCGCCGTTGTCTCCTCAGATCACAGTTACTGTTGGTGCCAGTTTAAATGCTCCAGTCCAGTTGCTTTCCCTCCCAAAGGCGATACAGTGGAAGTCTGACAAGCACAAGTGTGTGTTCTGTCTCGTGTGGCTTAGCGGCGGCGCGGTGGAGGCTGCGGGAGGTTCTTAATGCGATTGTCACATGATTATTGCATCTCTCTCCCTAAGCGCACACAAGCCACCATAGGCTTCCATAAGAAAAGTCCAGTTTGGAAAAAAATATTTCTGGCGACTTATGAAAACGCCTGGTGTCCTGGTTGACCTTGATTTTCAGATTGGACTTTTCGGATGAACAGCCTTAGGTCATCCGGATTGATTTCCAGGTCACAAAGGTTATCATGAGCAGAGGACATCTGGCTTTAAGATCTTCTACACATCAAGAAACCATGTGAAATACACTACTCACACAAAGTTAGGGATATTCAGCTTTTAGGAATCTCAGTCTGAAATTAATATAACGGGATGTCAAAATCTTTGGATGTGTCCAATATTATCATATGTTTAGTACTTTTTGTACAATTTGCTGTTACCTTTAAAGGAGGTGAACATGTGTTTGAGCCACAAATCGCCCATTATATATAAGACTTATAAGGTTCTTTTAATCAGACAAAAGTGTTAATTACCTGACACGTTTGGGCGGTAGACTTCTGCCTTCTCCAGAGGTGACACGTGATGGTGTGACGTGTCTCATCAGCTCCTCAGTCTGACCACGCCCCCCCCACCCTGCTGTTGTCTCTGCAGAAGTGAGCCCAAGTGTTGGTCAAGGTTGCGGTCTCTGTTGATAGTCCGTGCGCCCAACTTCCTGATTTCATTTGCTTCTCGTATCCATT